TCTTAATGATATAATAAGTATCTAAACATAAAATCACTGGAAAATTTAAAAAGCACTGGATTAGTTTAAGACAATGTATGATAGCTTAAGGAAAAAACATTTTTTTTTGCTTTTTTGAGACAGGGTCTCACTATGTAGTTCAGGGTGGCCTCAAACTTGCAGCAGTCCTGCCTCAGCATCCCAAGTGCAGGGATTACAGGTGTCCACCATCATATTTGATCATTAAAGGAAATCTATGAATTTAACATAATGGGGGAATATTTCAATAGAGACTAATTCTATATTTCAATGCTGAGTTATCCCAAGTGAAATGGAATCACAGATTTTAACAAACTGGGTTTTTTTTAAATTTGTTTTTTGATAATGGGGATCAAACTTGGACCTTTGCACTTGTGCGGCAGGTAGCGGAACCCCTGAGCCAAATCCCCAGCTCTGGAAGCACAGATTTTGAAGAACTGTGAAGTTACTTAAAAGAAATAATATCATTTAAGAATTTTACTTTAGCAATATGATAAATATTAACATTTTGTTTCCATATCTATATCTACAGTATAATGGCATAGCGACACTAAGTAGTATTTGCTCTATTAAGGAAGGAAAACTATTTGCTTAAAGGAAGAAGACTTATTTGCTGAATGGTCTATGTGCTAAATTACAGAGATTTTTTAGAATTCAAAGTAGTTGTAGACTTTTCTCAGAATGTATTTATTGGTCTAGTTCTACTAAATATAAATTATGTTCTGTCAAATAGTTCAGAAACAAAATACTTTTGTAATTTCCAAACTTTATACACAAATTTAGGGCTTTCACTAAACTGAGTTTATTTTTCTAGTTTTGTACTGTTATGTCCTTGTTGATACTATACCTAGCAGTAAGCAAGCTTTCATAAACTATGCTAGATCAAGTTCCAAGTTATTTGTCTCATATTTTTAGTAAATTGCTTATTCAATAAACTTAGTGTCTATCAATGTAGCACATTAACAAGAAGTCATTGATAAGCAAAAGAAGAAAATATTACCCAAGGCAACATAAGATCACTGCAGTTTTGAGACCTATGCTCAATTCTTGAGTCTATTCAGCAGTAAGAGGCCAAGTATCCTTTATGACATTTATGTGTAAGAATAAGATGGACTGTTAAACTGCTATGCCTATATGTGCCAAGCATTTGGTATAAGTTATCTCCAATTGTGATGAGCCTGTAAAGTCAGAATTCCTCTTTTAAAATTTTAAAAATATAGGCTAGAGAATTTAAACAACTTAGTAAGAATCACAAAAGTAGCACATAGAGAATTAAATATATTTTTTAAAGTTGTTGCTTTCTTACTTTTATTTTACATGTAAAGACTCATCTTTATCAGTTGTATGGTTAGCATTTAAATGAAAATAAATTCATCTTATATAGGGAACCTGGGAGATAAAGGAAAAAAAATGGTACTCTATTCTAAACATTTACTTACCATATATAATCTATTGTGTACCTTTATTATAGATAATAAAATTGTCATGGATGGGAAATTAATTACAAAAGTATATGTATGAATCTCTGTTTTTTTGTTATATTAAGATTTTGGACCTGAAGTCGGTATGTTTTTAAAATAACTCTGTTATTTTAGGTAGAACCTTTAAGCAGTAAAATGTAAAAGTTTGCTATAAATTTTCTTTTCTTTTCTTTTTTTTTTTTTAGGATTTATTATAGATGTTTTACAGCACCCATATGTTTTTACTTTTTTTTTTTTTGGTACTGGGGATTGAACTCAGGACCTTATGCTTGCGAGCGAGGCACTGAAACCACTGAGCTAAATCCCCAGTCCTTGCTATAAATTTTCATGGGTTTGTTGCTTTCAAAATTATGGCCATGGTACATTTTATTGTGACTGACAGTATAATGATGCTATAATAAAATTTTCTTGTCAACTTGTTCTCTCCTGATATGCCTGAAGTACTTCGGTTTAAGTGTCAGGCTAAATTATTAGATGTAGAGAAGAAATTAATCTGTATAATTCCATTTTTTTATTACAAAGGGCACAGAATGGTGCTAAGCATGTGGGGGATAGAGGTCTCTTTTCATAATTATGTAAGGATGGTTGTTTGAAAGGCTTTAATTATGCCACCTGCTTTTTTTTTTGTATTAAAGTTCTCCTGTAAATAATTCTCACTTTGCCAGATAAGTAAAGTTTAGAACTCTATGTGAATTTTCAATTAGCCAAACATTTCTTTTGGTTTCTAAGTTTGAGTTACATGAGTTAATTCATGAGGCTGGTCCAAATATGACATCATTTATCTAGATGATATCCATATTCAAAATTAACTTTTTGCAAGTCTTATATTATTTTTCCCCTCAAAAGTTTTCTTTTGTTTCATCCAAAAATGTACTTTCCTCCAAAGCCAAATACTTCACTTGTGCCTTTCTTGACTCCTCCTTCACTTAATCTTTGCCAAAAGGCCGAGAAGCAATTCTTGTCTCGTTCTTCACAATATTTCTTTGAAAATTAAACTTGTCTCACAGTACTGCTTTATTTTGCTTACCTTTCCTCTCAGTTTAGTTTCAATCTTAGAAACAAAACCAAACAAAATCCTTTCCCAAAGCTCCTTCTTTGTCCTTCTTGTATTCGTCAACTTTTTAGAGTAAGTCTCTAGATCTATTCCTTCAATTCTCAATATTTAGCAACTGAGCTATCTTTAATACCTTATGGCATTCTTAAAAACAGCGAATTATTGTACACTGTGTCTTCTGATCTTTTTAAAAAAAATACAGTGCAGGGTACTTCATCCTTAATGCCTCCATTTTCTTTCATTTCGATGACATTTCTGTATCTCTTGGTTTTTCTAGCACTATTTTTTTCTAACACTAGTGCTGTGTATACTGCTATTTCCCTAGGTCATCACTCTCTTTTACCTTCTGACTTAGAGATACTATTAGTACTTTTAGCATTAAATGGTTCTCAAAACTGGCTCTCAGAAATAACTGTGGCATTTAAAAAATATGTCATTATTTCAGCTCAAACACAGTTCCACTGAGTCAGACACTTTAAAAGTAGAAGGCTGGACGGTGTACTTTTAAGAACTCCTGTGGTAAGTCTGGAATATAGCTATAGCTGTAGATACTGTATTCTTCAAGGATCTCTATAACCTTTCCTCACTATTCTGCTTTCTCAATTTTATAGCTTTTGGGCTTATACATTATTGGTGAGGCAATCATTAAGTATTATCTGGATTATTCTGGATTACTGCAAGAAAAAAAAAATCATTCTGTGACCAAGTCTGGGGAAAAAAAAAATCAAACAGAGAGATTATCTTTCTGAACAATCTCCCAATGACATGTGTATACTTCATAAGTCTGTAACATTTATTAAGGCTCTTCTTACTCAAGAAAGGGCTGCTTGTGCTCAAATTATCTCCCACCTTCCCATTGACAAATTATCAGTATGAGGCACAGTTCTGCTCTGAACACTCCTCTCCTCAAGACCTAATTACCCTTGGGTTGCAAATCCCAGTTGAAATTCTCCAGCTCAGCGTTCAAAGTCCTGTAAGATCGGGGTAGAATCTTTGTAATCTAGTCTTTTAAAAAAAAGTATATGATAAGAGTATAGACTTTGATATCAGACATACAGTACTTGAGTTTGAATAATGTTTAATCCTGGCAAGAAATATGAATCTGGTAAGTCTAATTTGTTTATAAGAAAAAAGGTAACACTGTCTCCATCTGAAAAGGTTATCTGGACAGTTACATGTTGATCCACCTCATATTATGTGTGGAAGAACTTGCTATCTCTGACTGAAAACAACAGTTATCAAATTTCAATACATATCATTATCAAAAGGTATATTTCTTAAAATGAATGCCTGGGCTCCACCTTTACTTGTTAGGTGTATATAGGGCTGCAGATCCATTGTCCAGTATGGTAATCAGTAGCAACACTATAAATGTGAAATGCATAACAAATCTCAGAGACTATGAAAAGAATAATGCTAAACACTTCATTACTAATGTTTTATTTTTCATGAGCTCAATATTCCAAATGTTATTCTAAAGTATGAGAGAGGCTGAACACTTATGTTAAGAAGCAAGTGTGAGTGAGTGATTTGCATCCTCCACAAAACATCTGGAGACAAGTCCTCATGTTGCCTCGTCACTAGGGAGTTCTTATTTTTTTTTTTTTTCTTCTTTGAGTTTATTTGTATTTTAGGTAT